GAAAGTATATGAGAAACGTATCTTAGATGATGAGAAAAAATGAAAGAAAAAGTTGTTAATAGGCGAGTAAACTTCAAGTCTGATATCGAACAGTTTTAGAAGTTTGTCGTTCTTCATGAACTGGATAAGCGTGTTAATTAATCTCATTTACAAACCTACAGAAGTTTCAGCAAGGGTCGTCCCAGATGCTTACGATAAATGTAATGCAGCTTACCCCAGAAAAGCATTGCTTAAGATCACCAAACAGTGATGATTCGGTAGCCAGTGCAGAAACTTTTCCGAGAGAAAGGAACGCAGAGACCAGTGAAGAGCTGCGAATGCAATTACAAGGTTAATTAATAGATTTATATTACCGAGAAGCCTGTTAATAACTTGCTCAAACATACGGTATGCTTGATTTTATATCCAGAATAATTGATGAAATTTAGTAAGAGGAACTACTGAAGTAAGTTAGGACCTGTACAAGTTAATTCGAGCTGTTTGATTCGATTTATATTGGCGTACATTTATTCAGTAGGACTTGCAATATTTCCTTATCTGTACCTGTTCATCTGTCAACATTAATACTCATAAAATGATAGTCGGCATCATTGGTTGACTGCTGACTATGAATACTTTTTTCCAGTTAGCAAATTAAAATGTCTTCTTATCCTTTCATGTTCTCGGATACTGCACTTATTATCAGAAGATAAATCACTGAATATGTCTTCTCTTTGACATTCATGAATAAATCTTTCATCGTTTGCTTTTAACAGTGATTTTTCAGGGTCATGCAATCACCCGACGAATGAAGAAGAAGATACCAACAGGAACACAAAGGTTTTATATTTCATCACTTTTCTTTATTTTACCAAAACAGTTTTTATATTTCTTTTATTTTGATGCCGATTGTTTCATTAAGCACAAGGTTTTTAAAAATGAATATAAGTTATAAGTTATAATTTATTGGTTAATTTTGAGACCTCTGATTTTGACGATGTGCTATCAAGGAATGAAGAAGTGAAAGGCAGAATGCGTCATGATTTTGGTGACATGTTAGTTTGTACTTGTTATTATATATGGTTAACCAAATTTAAATATGTTTCTTGGGGTTGTGAAGTTGAAATATTACTTGGTTATCAGCAAATCGTAATTTACAATGAAAGAAGTATTGTTTTACAAATTTACAATAAAAAAAGTGAAGTACTGTTTGCAGCGATCCCTCATTTTCGATACATCGTTCTTTGTGGCCTGAAGAAAGAAGTAATGCATTGAAAAGCATTGGATTTCATACTGGTTCTTCGCCTTACGAATTTGACCAAGATTTAAAACCATCACATGTCTCATTTGAGAATACTTGCTTTGGAATAAGCGAATCAACGGAAGCGGAAATTCGTCATTTCGGACGTCCACGTAGTATACACACCGAACTTTTCTCTCCTCAGTATACATCCCAGAAATCAACCTCTAATGAAAAGCGTAAGCAAAGGTACATACTTTTCATTGGTTTTAAACTCAAGATATGTAAGCTGTAATGGAGTTTTACCCTACCCATTTTGATCAAAAATATGGTTACAATAATCAATTTGATCAGTCTCTTAGTCTCTTGTTCGGCATCTCATCAATAGCCTAGTGTTTCCATTTTGAAATTGGACGTAAAGTTACTGTTTTTTAATCATATAGTGTCAGTATCAGAATTTCCTTCCTTCGGTTTGCCATATTTTTCGTTTGTTTTAGAGGTCGAAGACGTGGACGAGCCATCTCTACAGCTGCGGGCTGTGCTGCTGTCATAGCTCAAACATCTCAGTCCGATGATGTGTATGAATTTCGCAGCAGCCCCGAATCTGATGCAGGTATAAATGTGAGCTTTTTATCCTGATCGTTTAATACTTCTTTCTTCCCATATTTCCGACATAATCGAAAGTTTTTTTTTTTTAATCTTGATTATTTAATGCTTCTTCCCATATTTCTGATAGATCTAAAAAAGTATTTCATATGTTAACTTTCCAGTTAGAGGATACGATAAGTCTTAATTAAAAGGATATACAGAGAGAGACAAGAGAGGTTAGATCGTAATGAGATACCTAAATGTAGTAGACACTGGAAATATGGGTAATGTTGGCAGATCAAAGGGATGAATTTTAGCAAACTATATATCTGTGTTGAGGGTGGTAGTGAGAAGCGGGGGAAGGAATGAGAACCGGTATTTAAGCAGATTAACATTCCATATTGTCCCTTTGGGTGACCTCAATGTCTCCCTCATAATTTGTTGCAACTACCAACCTCTTGATATTTCATTTTAGCGACTCATCGTCTTATATTATCTCAAACCAGCTTCTGCATGAATAGTTTCATGTGTTCCATGGCTTGCTTTTTTAATTAAATATTGTTGCGTTTGTTTGTTGAATTACTTCAACAGGAATGATTCGTTGATCGAAAATCTACAGTGTACGCTTCTCAGCATTAATTTTGATTTCGTGAAAACTGAAGATTGATATGCTCATTACAAATTACAATCTTAGTTTTCCAGTACTTTTGCATTAATCACACTGTTAAAATTGGTAGTTATACCTTACAAGCGGTGAAACATATTTCGTAAAAAGTTTTTACAAACTTAACGTTATGTGTTTTTGATTAACTTAAATTCAATTGGAAAATCGTTGGCAACGAATGACAATATTAAAGAAGTCATACAAATAGTAAGAGCTGCAACAAACATTTCGTGATTCATCGGAACGGCACGTATCATTATTTATGTTTCATCGTATTGACATCTGCCAAATTATAATTCGATTCATTGCCAAACTCATAAAATATTTCAATGAATTAATAAAGCCAGATAATGTTTCGAAATTAAAATAGAATAGATATATAGGATGAAAAACGGTTTATGTTTGTTATGTATTTTCTTTTTAGCTTATTTCGAGTATTCATGCATAAGATTTGTATAATTGTTGCAGAAAACGGGATCTGCTGGAGATATGGAACGAGAACTGAGCGAATCGCCGAGTTTGAAGAAACAGCGATTCAATCAGACTGGAACCACCGCTATGGCCTCTTTTACTTTGACTACAGTTTCTCAAACAAGTATTTTGTTTTGTATATGATATTGGCTGCTTTATTAACGCAAATATTGTTAAATACGCAAATATTGTTAAATATCAGAGATTTGAAGGAAAATTTTTTTTCCAGTTTCGTAAAGTTTTTGGAAGCTTAGGCCAGGTTATATGAAAACCTGAATTTTCTGAATACTAGGTACTATACAAGAAGGTATATCCGTACTAGAAAAAGACGAAACTATGGATATGATATCGAATATATCTGATTTGATGGATGAGAAAGTTGATGGGACGATTGATCGTAAGGTGATTTTCCAAATCATAGTTTATCTGAGTTTGATAGTCTTATCATGCGGCGTAGTACGTTTAATAACTAAATACATGTAAATTTTAAAACTACAAAAATCTATTCTGTAGAAAGAATATTATATTTGTTTTTCGCTACGGTGAATCGATGAAGTTTCTTTGACCAACGATAAAGAATTTTGGAGTGGCGTTGTTGTCAGATAGATAATTGGTTATTCAAATTTCTTTTTTTAATGGATTGATCATTTCTGTTGCAAAACAGTCACGATATACATATTGTTAGTTGGAATTTGAGTAGAGATGGAATTCTTATTTCTTTCAACTTCTCTTTCAAGTCAAACTTGTTTCTTTGATAATACATTTTTCCGGTTCTTTCTATCGCGTATGCTTCCGCAGGATAACGAAGCCAAAACACTACTTATTTTCTAAAGGCAACATGCAAAGTTTACTTTAGAGAGGTCAGTATTTTATGATTTTATAAATTAATTCAGGTACCTCCGCTTCGCATATCGTTACCCCGCACACCCAACGAAGATGGTATAGCGATAGCAAATGCTGCAGATGATGTGACTTCAATTACGAGCAGTGCTGTAAGACGAAATACTAGAAGTACCAAAAGTCTTACTCGTAGGCATCAAAGCCCTGAACAAAGTGTTAGCACTTCTTGTGATGAGAGCATACAACGAGTTACAAGGTTCCAACTTTCCTAACATTTGTTGCTGCTAAGTAAAGTAAAGAAACTTGTTACAAAAAGGAAATGTTGTTGTTCACTAAACAAATCGTGAAAAATATGATTCACTCTCTGATTGCAAACGGAATTCAGTTAGAGTTTTCTGGAGTTACAATAGCTTTTTTTCTGATATGGCAACTTTTAAACAAAATGGGCAAAATATTTGCAGAAGCAAACTTCGACAATCCGGACGACAGCTTCGTGAACATTTTGCAGTAAGCTATGAAACGTCAGCGAAAAGGAAATCAAGTAGTTGGCGGCGTAACTCTACAGCTACTTCGTCACCAATGCCTGTGCTGTCCGCGGCAGCTTCCGACGAACATACTACTTTTAATAATAATACTGGAGATAAAGCTGATGGTTTATTTTTCTTACACATCAACTTCCTTTCATTTTCAATAAAAGCACGTCGTATGTTTGAGAGCGCCCGTTTTTATCGCTAGCAGTTGCTGGCAGTTTTTTTATTTATGTTTTGAACTGCATAGTACAGAAAAATTACAGCCGATGAAAGCTCACATTTGGAAGCTACTGCACGGAAAGACGATGAAAATACTTTATTGGCTTTATCACTGATGAAAAAGAATAGCTATGAAGGTTTTCGAGACTTCCGTTCTGTAGTAAGACTTCGAATTTTATTGTAAAAGAATTTCAGTTTTGTTATTGTTATTCGTATTATAGCATTTTCAAACGAACTGTTCTAGATTGAGCAACGCTGGGCCAAAGATGCAACCAGTGAGACTATTGCTCCAGAAAGCCCACCTAATTTTAATAATTACTTAATTGTACAAGGAAATTACACGTCGGCAAGTAATATGGGCTTACTGTCAACTCAAGAAGTGAGCTGTTTTTTTCGCACATGCCATAATTATTTTAATGGTTCCTAATAGTAAAAAATAACTGTAGGTGAGAACTCCTAATTTCATGGACAATAAATTGTTATCCTTAGCTTGTTTTTTTTATTCACGAAAATAATGGCAGCCTTATCGAAAACAGTAGTACTTATGTATAATACTGTTGGGTGGGGATATTGACGAGATTTGTATGGGTTTGTTTTTGGAAGCTAGTTTTTCAATTCAGTGTTTAGAAAGTGAATGTTGTATTTATGGAAAAGTTAACAATGAAACTTCGTACTCTTCACACGGAACAGCAGGAAAAGAGGAGAAATATGCTTTTTTATCATCAGGTACTAGTATTTCTCATTTGATTTACCCATTCTTTAAGTCATGGAGAATTATACTGGATTTGTTGTCACTCATTTATTTAAAAAAATACTTTATAAGGTGGAACGCGAACGACTACGGATGCAAGCAGAAAGTGAAGTGATACGTATGCTTACGCGAAAGGCAAATGAACGTAATGGATCCTTTTCAACTAGTAAGTCTGAGACTTTCTTTTCATTTCGCTGTATTCATTTTTATTTTACTGTTGAAGTTCAAATTCGAATTCAAGTTTTGTGCTGAACACTGACTTGTTTCTGTTGTATTTCAGAGTTGTTTTATAAATTCTTTTAGTGAGGGTGATTAGAGAGATGAATTTATTCAATACCGGTTTTTTGGAAGTGAAGTCGGAAAAATTACCAGTAATGGAAATTTCGGAAGTTAAAGTGAAGTACGAAAAACTTGCAGAGATGATGCGCAGACGACAGCAAATGGAGGCAGATGCACTATATGCTGAGCAGGTTCTTCATCTTTACCATTTCTGTTTTCTTTTTAATTAAGTAGAGATTGATATTTGATTTTGGTATTCCTACCGTCATCACGATATAGTGAATTGGTGTTGGGAAATTGTTTTTCTGTTGAACTCATTTCTCGGCTATACAGATTTATTCGGGATGTAATATTGTTCTTGCACAATATTACTAGTTACCAACAAGAAAAGGTATAAAATATATATATGTATATTACACGATGAATTGGTAAGCAATGATAAATGGTTATAGAAAAAGCAAGTAGTATGATCAACTAACAAACTCCTTGTCGTTGCCTTGGACAATAATTTGACTGTCGATTAGTTGACAGATCGTTGAGTTGGAAATATGTTACGGGAAATCATTTAGCGAATAGAAGAATATCGTAGTTTGTTGTTCAATGGTGCAGATATGCGATGTCGTCGTTTGTGGTTCAATCGTGGAGAATAAGCGAAGAGGATCTATCGTCTGCTCGGTTGTAAAGAATTGTCTCGGGATTTTTTCATATATATATATATATATATA